AATCCACATGTAAAAATTGATGTGGCATGTGCATTTTGCTCATGTAAGGTAAAAGATTATCACAAACATAAAAAGTTTACAAGAATTATTTTAAAAAAAGTGTACTTGAATTTTCAAAAAAAAAATCATTTTTATTTAAATACGTTAAGCTTAACATCATGGCTAATGTATATTTTTAGCAAAAGAATTAAGCCCTCCAGGCTCCACGCATCTTCTAGCAAAGTTCTCCTCTTAAACTCCATCTCTCCTTCTGGTAAAAAAAAAAAAATTAAAAAAAATATTGCATCTCCTTAAATGGTTGATCTCAAAAAACTCTGGTGGCACAACGAAAGTTGTAAGTAGCATGGTACCGGTAACAGGTAATATAGAGATCACCAGAACTTAGTAAGTAAAATGATCAAAATCTGTCTTGAAAAACTGATTAAAAGGGATCAAAAATGCATTTTTCAATTTTAGTCCAGGCATTACGTTTTTATTGAAAAATCTAATCTCAAGAGAATTATCTCAAGTTTTTCTTGTTCCCAAAAGAAAGTGTTATCTAATGTAAACTTCATTTGAGGCCATGGCACCTAAAGTTCAATAACTGCAATTCAATCACACTTAAGGCTTTCCAACTCCATAGTAACAAGTGAAGCAATGAGTTTTAAGGTAGCTAAACATCTTTCCACTAAAGTAGGCAATTATTTCTGAAATGCAGTAATATAAATGATGTGACGTCACTAACCTTAGATACTCGTTTCTCAATTGCAATTTTGAGACACAAGATAACTCTTTGCAAATAGAATCTTCCTCGCACAAATATCTCTACCAAAGATGATATTAAGTCAAAAGAGGCATATCTTTGAGAATTTCTGGACAAAGCTACATATGTGTGGCGCTTCACAAGCTAATTAAAATAGAGAATCAAGATCCTGATTATAATATGTTAACGCAAAAATATTAAAATAAGAGATGGAATATAATTTGTGCTTACCATTCCCGTGAACAATATTGATGCAATCCCAGACATGCCAAGACCTTCTGCAAGCATGGACCTGAAGAAGAAAATAACTAACATTCAAAAGGAAGCCATGCTTTATATATAACATAGCCCACAAAAAAAAAAAAAACATTGCTGTTTCAACATGAAAGTTGCATAAGGAGACAGAGGCTCGAAAACTGGGGTGTAGTAACTAAAGGTAAGCTTAATAGTATTTGGTGGAGTTCCTCAAAGAGGGGCCTGACATGGAAGGTGATCATGGGGTCTGCAGGATCTATGGCTATAGCCAAATGAATGATCTGATTGAGTTTTTTTGCGATGTGCCATTGTTTGAATCACATGGCAATTGCTATAGAGGAGATAACAACACTCGTTGGCTCAATGGGAGAGGAACCATTTACGATATCCCATCCGCATAAACCTGTTCACACCAAAAAATGAAATGCAGTGATTTGCTTGAAAATCTTTTCACCCTAAAAAGTTCAGTTTTGACACTCATGTCTTATTATCAGATGTTTGCAGTAAGGTTAGAGCTCAAAGAGTACCTTGTTACAAGTGGACTCTCACTTCTATTACTTGCTGGTTTTATTGTTTTGGGAGCAGTGTTACTTAAGGAGACCTCAATTGTTCTACTTGTAGAAAAGGCTAAAGAAGTAATAGTTTCCATGACTGATTACGTCTTTGAGAACACAGGAATCTAACCCCATTAGTGCCAGATTTTTCTAATTTGGAGGCAAGCACAAAGCTAAATCCAAAGAATATTGATTAATATCCTCTGGTTGAACAATGTAAAACCGAAGAATGTGTTCACCACGAGATGATCTATAACTTTTTCCAATAAGACTCGGGATTAACAGTTAAAAATGTGGCCACCTACAACTAAGAGTGCATTGCAAATTTATTGAAATCCATGATTACTTTGTGATTAAGACAAAAACATTAGCGGCCATCTCATTATAGGTAGAAGATTAAAATATAATGACTAAACACAACCTCCATAATTTGTTGATATGTCCTTGGTTTTGCTTTGCAAGCTCGTTATGAAATCATGACAGACAAATAAATAGTGGCATGTAAAATATGCCATTGTAAATTAAACAGAGGTAGAAGCTCAAAGTATGAAGTAATCTTTTACCTAAAGAAAAAGCACTTACATTGCCCTCAAAGTTATTTAATGTAAACATGGGAAGGAATCATCCATGGTTAGAAACCTAGACAAATCATGTAAAAACAGAAAGACCTTAGAATAGAAGAAGAAACTTAAATTCACATACCAATCTGGCGAACCTAGTTGGCATGGTGATTTCACACCAATAAACATAGCCTGTAAAGCAGCTATTGCACCAAAAATTAAAAAATGTGACAGCTAGTTAGTGAAAATGACAAGTCTTTAGTGTCAAAGAGGATGCTGCTGGACAAATGTGGAGAGATAAATTTCAACAAAGGAAAAAGAAATGCAGGATTATTTTATATGAGAATCATCATCTCCTTTGCATGTCCTTCCGTATCCTTCTTCTTCTTCATCGTCATCTTCTTCTTTTTTTTCTCATTCCATCTCCATCCTTAGATTAATAAGAAATATTTATATTAATTTAACTGTAAAACTGTTACATAACAGCCTCACAAGTATTTTAAGAATGCCTTTACTATATTTACTTAACATGATTGCATATTTCAATACTTGAACTCAGTTTATTCAACTTTCTGAACTAGTTGAACCAAAACAAATAATTTTAAACTGTTAAAATTTAACCTACACAATGTATAATTGCAATAAAATAAATGAATAAATAATTTTAATTTAATAACAATATACAAAACTGTGCAGATCAAATTTTAACAAGAGAGAATGACAAAGAGGTTCCAAAATAATCAATTAATTCAAGTTAGGTCTCAAGTACTAAATTCTAGAAGTTTCAAGTCCATCTTTCAATTTTGTAACTGCATTGTAATGAATTTGCAACTTACTTTTTAAATTTTAACATGGTTGAAAAATAAAAAAATTTATTTTTCTGTCAAAATTTAAAATACAAGTTGCAAATTAATCACAACGCAGTTACAAAATTAAAAAATTGAGTTGCAAATTCCTGAAATTTAACACTTAGAACTTAACTTAAATTAATTGATTATTTTGGGACCTCTCTGTTAATTTTTTCATTTAAAAATTTAAATTTATCCATTTTTATATGATAATTATTTTGTAAAAAATTAAATTTGTTGCGAAAATAATTAAATCTACACCATTCACTTTATAATTTAATGGTGGAGATGAGATGAGAAGAAGAAAAGGAAAAAAAGGATTAGGAGAGGATCTGGAGCCCATAAAGCATAGTAACGTTTCACCAAGGTCCTGGCCACACAAGGCCCTGCTTATCTATTTGTCAAAGGTTTCTTCAGATCTTTGTGTTTTACTTTCTACTACCTCGCCTAAAAAATATAAATGTTTTTTAAAAAGTTAAATATTAAAAAAGCAATACACTTTTAAAATATAATTATTATATTTTTTTAAATGTCAATATTAAATAAACCACTTTACACTTATTTTAAGGTGAAACAACTTATTAAATATGAGTAAATATAAAAAATAAGATTAGTTTAAAAATAATTTTAAATGTCAATATTAAATAAACCACTTTACACTTATTTTAAGGTGAAACAACTTATTAAATATGAGTAAATATAAAAAATAAGATTACTTTAAAAATAAAAAATTATTTTATTAACAAGTAAGATTTATTAAAAATATTTCACATTTTTAAATGACAGCAATGCATCTTAAGATTTTATATAGGACTATTCTTTTTATGATCTACGTTAATTTAAACTATCGTCGAAAATATAGAGAAATGCATATTTTCTTTTCCTCAGTTTACGAAGCAGCACTACTAGCTAGGCAGCAATCTAAATCCTTTTAATTTTAAATTTTTAAAATTTTATCCGTATTTTTTATTTAGATTTTTTTTATGTTAAAAAAAAATAAGATGAGGAAATGCCACTTGCGATAGTTGCTCCGCTGCAAAACGAATTGAGTAGCAGAGAATCTACTTACGATATAGCAGCCAATAATGAGCGAGCATGTGTCCAAATTTTTCAGTATCGTGAAACAAAAAGCATAAAGAAATACCTTTGACAATTTTGTACTGCATCTACAGGCGCCAAGTAGATTGATTGAGGATAAAGAAAGAAAAGTCCTTCACGCTTCTTGGTGATGATTGATGATCGCATTTGTGGAGGTTATTTGGGGACAATGCAGTGTTATGGTGAGTTGGGACAAGAAAGGCGTGTAAAGACGTAAAAAAATAGCGAAGAAGGCATCGTCATTAGGGAGGTTGGGACAAGGACTTGTGCAACTCCGAGTAATGGGAATTTTGCTTTATAGTTTATACCATGGTCCAACGTGCGAGGTCAAAATCAGAGCAAACGAGTCCGAAAATTTCCACCACCAGAATAATCAGTCGCAAACTTTTTGCTTTAGAATCACAAAAAAATTTAAAAAAATTAATTAATTTAAATTAAATCTTAAGTGTTAAATTTTAAAAATTTACAAGTTCATCTTTAATTTTACAATTATACTGTGATAAATTTATAACTTATATTTTAAGTTTTAATAAAAAATAAATTTTTTATTCTTTAACTATGTTAAAATTTTAAAAATAAATTATAAATTTATTACAGTATAATTATAAAATTGAGAGATGAACCTATAAATTTATAAAATTTAAATCAATTGGTCATTTTGAACATCTCATTTTGTTTTTTGTTTTTGTTTTTGTTTTGTTTTGTTTTTTTTTTTTTTTGGGCCACTTGCGCTCGTGAGAGTGACTGCAATTCCTGCTTCGCCCCACTTATCATCGTTCACACTGACACTGCTACAGTGCTACTTACTAAAATTGCGTTGAACCTCTGTACCTGTGCTTTTTGCGATCTGGGTGTTTCATTAAGCGTCATCATCGTGGAAAACCATGATTGACATAAGAATAATGAATCCCTCTCTGTCTTTCGATAGATTCGAAAGCAAAAGGCGAGCAGCACGCACCCACTCAACAGAGTTTCTAACCACAATATCACAGACCAATCTATCTCGGCCACAAAAAAACTTGGACGCTTTGCGCTTTTCTGGTTCTCTTCGCTATCTTTTTTCACCTATACCTACACTGGCTTGGTTGCTTGCTTACTTCATACATGAACCAGAAAAAATACCCTTCACCAAAAAAATAAAATAAAATAGCTTTCGCTTAGAATGCTGAAAATGGACTGTCATGGTGGCTACTCCAGTAACTGGGTACGCCTCTGTGACTCTTGCAGAGTGTCTGCTTCGACTCTGTACTGTCACACCGATTCAGCGTACCTCTGCTCTTCCTGCGACGGACAAATTCATTCGCCGAGATATCCTTGTTGGCCCCACCATCGGGTGCAACTTTGCGGAGCGTGTGAGAACGCTCCGGTGGCCTTCACCTGCAAGGCCGATGATGCTTCGCTGTGCGTCAACTGTGACTTCGAAATTCACTCGGCGAATCCAATCGCTAGCCGACACAACAGGGTCCCTGTGTCTCCCCTGTCTCGTATACCGAACGACAACGTGGCAACTCCTGAAGACCAGCCTAATTACGAGGTTGTCGACAACAGCGTAAGTAGCAAGGAAATGGACGAGCGAGAAGCTGACTCATGGTTATTGCTTGATTCTGCTGACACAATAGACAGCCAGGTTGATGACGGGTTTATGTTCGGAGAATCAGAGGATGATCACCATGCTTACATGGGGCTTGTTGAAGAGTGCGATTCATCCATAAAGTTAAAAAATTTCCAGGAAGATCGTGATCAGGAGCAGCAAGCTATGACCTTTTCTGAAGAGATGAACGAAAGTGACAGTGTGGTGCCAGTTCAGACCAAGCAATTGCAGCCAAAGCAGCAGCAGAATATGTACTTCAACATGGAGAAGAAGCCATCAAGAGTGGCTTTCACAAATTATGCCTTGAATTGCCGGAGCGTAAGATGATTATTCATATTAGTGTTACTGTAATTTTTTGGGAAAACTATCCCTCCCTACACTTTACTTATATTTTATCGTAGATCTTTACATTTTTCTTTTTTAATATTTTGAATCCTTATAATTTTATTTTTTAATATTCTAAATTCCTACGTAAACATAATAAATAAAGTATAAAGACCTTAGATAAACATAAAATATCAGAAAATGAAAGTATAAAAATTTAAAATTTAAAAAAAAAGTACAGAACTTATAATAAAATACGAGTAAAATGTAAGAATTAAAAGGTATGTTTTCTCTAATTTTTTTATGATCATCAATATGCAACTGCGTTCACTGCATGTTCTCTGCTTCTTTCGAGTTGTTCTAGGATAATTGATTACTGTGTGTTGTGTAAATTCTTTTTAACTGTGTTTTTGTGGGCAACTTATCGACTGATTACAGCGGAGATAGCTTTTTCACTATGAAGCATGCTTGTATGATCAGAGACTAATATGTCTCTTCTCTGCTGGGCACTATGCATCCAAAGCGTTGTGGCTCAGCTTAAATTTAATTATTAATCATCATGTAAATGCTACCTTCACAAGGTAAGTTTTCATGAATAACCTTTGGTGCTTTATACGGCTGCCATATATATACAAACACACATTTGTCTGTTTGTGTGAACCGTACTCAAAAGCCCTTGAATTTTTTTTAGTAGATTAAAAAAAAAAAAAAACTTGAACTCTTCTACTTTACTAGTTAGAAAATTTTCAAAACTCAAGTTCCTGGCTCAGATTTTCATGTTTTGTTCCCTGACTAACCCTCGTGTTCTTCTCTCTTTTTTTTTTTTTTTCCAAAAACAGGTGGCGGTTCCATATATGGATGCTCCAGTGCTGCAAAGAGGAACGGCAAGTGACATGGCAGGCTACAGATTTGGCAAAGGAACAGAGATATTCCCGAGTGGATCAGTTCCAATGCAGATCCACTTTGGGCAGATGAACAGGAAAGCTGGAGTGGAAAAATACAGGGAGAAGAAGAAATCTAGAAAGTTCGAGAAGAGAATCAGATATGCTTACAGGAAGGCCTACGCCGAGAAGCGACCCAGAGTGAAGGGCAGATTTGTAAAGAGGCAAGAGTTAACCTCAGACGAAGGCGTGCCTCTCCATTGAACATCTCAGCCACCACGAGTGCTTAGCTATAATTGAATTTGAACTAGTTTCAATGTCAAGTCCTGCTGCAGAATATTAAGTTGTTCGTCGATTTTACTGAGTTTTGATCAGTTAGTTTGGCCTGTTTGTTTGTTGGCGAATGTCAAATTGTATCCTCTGCCACCGACTTTGAGCGTATTTCACTGTTTAAGAGAGAGAGACCGGGCTTGTTAAATTTTCCTCTAGCATTGGAATTTATATATTTGGGTTCAAATTTTAAATTTTAAATTTTAAATTTTAAATTTCATATTTTTAATTTATATATTTAAAATAATTTTTTTAGATGATTTAAAAAATTTTAAATAAAAAAGAAAGATGAACGGAGATTCAAAACGATATAAAAAATTAAAAATAATAAGTTTATTTTTTTAACAAGAGATAGATAAAATATAAAAAAATCATAAAGATATTAATAATAAAAATTTAAATAGAATAAGATATTTTAAATAATTAGGTGTAAAAAATTTAAATTATAAAAAATTTTAATTTAAAATTAATTTTTATTTGAATTAAATCTAAATTCATAAAATTTTATGTATTTAAATAAAAAATTAATTTAAATTTAAATTTTTATTTTTATTAATCCAAACATGTTTCTATATACTTCTCATTTTGTTGTTATGACGACCTAAACAATTTTGGAATAAAGCGAGAGTTAATTAATCTATTATCACTATGTCACATATCAATGATGATTTTAAAAACATTGATGATCTTTTTTTTTTTTTTTGAGATTACATCTCAACTCATGATTATAATACCAATAGGGGCAGGAAAAGTTGGTGTTATGACGTAATAATAAGAGTGCAACTCATATGTTTCATTTAAAAAAAAAACTAAATGACAAATTGACCCTCAAATGATAAGTCTAAAGCATTTGGATTTTAAATTTATTTTTTATACAAATTTTTTTTTTAATTTTTAAAAATAATGTAATGTCAATGTAAAATTAACTTTAACTAAATCAAAAAATGACCCCAGAAAGTACATATAAAATAAAAAAAATTACATAAAAAGATCCAAAATACAGCCAAAGACTTAAATAATTATATAAAAGGATCAAGAAAATTGTATTGGTCATTTTCTATAATATTTTAGGTTATTTTGTATAATTTTTTTATCAACTAACAGTCAAAATTAATATTTATTTCATTAACAGTAAAGGTCATATTATATAAAAAAGAGTTTAAAATTTCAAACACTTTTGAATCTATAATTTATGAGCTAATTTGCCATTTAACTTAAAAAAATACTAATTTTATTTTCTGTACACTCAAAATTTCAAACACTTTTGGATCTATAATTTATGAGTTAATTTACCAAGGTGATGGATAATTTTGAGTGTTCATCACCCTAGTAAATTTATAAGACTTAATTTATTAATCTTCTTCTTCTTGCTTTTTTTGTTTAGAATGACAAAGAGGCCTAAAAAAATTAATTAATTTAACATAGGTCTCAAGTGTAAAAATTTAAAAATTTTTAAGTTCAACTCTCAATTTTATAATTTTTTGTATGTAATGAATTTGTTATTTATTTTTTAAATAAAAAATAAATTGTAAATTCATTACAATGAAATTACAAAATTGAGAATGAAACTTGCAAAATTTTAAAATTTGGCACATAAAACCTAAATTGAATTCATTACTCCCTTTGAACCTACTCTCTTTGTTCCTATATATAAAATATTTTTGATTAAATTATGCAAATTAATAAAAGCTAGTTATTTAATTAAAAGCACAGCAATATTTTAATTTTATCCCTGATTATTATAAATAACAAATGAATCTTTTTTTAAAAAAATTAATGAGAGTACTTATCTTTTTTTTTCATAATTTACTAAGAGTATAATGATCTATTCATTAAAAAGTATACTAATAATTTTTTATATTTATGAATTGAAAAAAGTTTTATAAAACTTTTTATATATAGGGACAGAGAGAATATGTGTTATTCTCCCTTGTTTGCCCCTAACAAAATTAACAACATTGTTAAATAATTTGGCATTGCATTTACAACTCATTTTTTATTCAACTTACTTTAGATAAATGAGCATTGATATTAATATCAGGGAGAATTATATTCAACCTCTTTCAAAAAAATTAATCACAGATAAGAAATAACAAGAAGTTCCATTTAAGCTTGAAAAAATTAAAGCCAAGCTCAAACCCGATTGAATACCCAAATTTTTTATTATTAATAAAATTAGATTAAAAATTAAAAAAATCTTCTTTTTTAAATAAAAATTGAAATTGACTAAAACATAAAATAAAACACTCTTTTAAAATTCAAGTATTCAAGTCGAATACGGCTAAAAACCCAAGTTGTTATAATCAAATTTGAATATATGGCTTCTTTTATAAATTTAATGAGTACCTATACACCGTTGTTAACTTAAAGACATCATAAGCTCGTAACTTAAAAGTGATAGATTTGATCATATTAGTAGAAGAATATAAAGACAGAATCAAATTCATATAAGTTCATAAAATCAATTCTATATCAAAACTCAAAAGTAGAGATAGAACATAAAAGCATATTTGAATCCATCACCATGTTTTTAGAGAGTGTTTTCTAGATTTGTCATTGGTGGAAACTCTATATTTTTAAGAATGGGAACTAGAGAATGTTCTTTTTAATTGACTAAATCAGTGACCACAACTTCTATTTATAGATTTAATATGCTTGTGATATTTATGATTTGACCCCTAAATAAATTATAAATATCACACTAGTCTCCATACATTTGTCCCATCAAAATTATACCTCTAAACCTCAAAACTTTAATTTAAATAGATTATTTTATTTAAATTTAATTAAATAATGGCTACATTTTTAATGTGTGTGTGTGTAGCCCTAGGTTTTATTTACAACAAAGAGTTTTTAAATACTTTCACACTCACTTTATCAATATTATAAACAGTTTTGTACTGTCATTCACTTATAAATACTATTTTTTTTGAAGAATAAAAAAAGGTCCATTTACATTTTTTGACTTTTAACCCATATAGACGATGTAGAAATAGAATGTCGACGCGTAAGAAAAGCGAAAGAATATTGTGCACCAACAGGCGTAGGTAACCACCAAAAAGCTACCCTTGTTTAAAATACGTTCTTTTTCTTTTTATTCTCTGAAACAAAATATTCTATCTATATATATATATATATATATAGAAGGGGGTTCGATTTTTCTTTCAATTATTTAATGTGGAAGAAAATTCGAGTTCAACGTTTTTCAAATTTTATCTAAAATAATATCATGAAAAATATGTAAATAAACTATCCAAAATTAATTTTTGAACTTGATATTTATGTATTTACTTTTTCTCCACTTTATTTCTACTAAACCATTTCCCGTGTATACGGACAAAAAGAGTTTCTTCATACGAGATAGACATTAAAACCGAAACACATGGGCACTACATTATGAGGAATAAAACAAGATAAAAAGTTGAGTATGAAACTAAATGTACTACCACAAAAACAAAAAGTTACTTAACAGTTATTTTTTTTGTCTTACTTGACAGGGAAGGGAGGCCTACCTTTATCAAGTTTTGATTTTCAGGTTTAGCCTTTAGTAATAGTCAAAATTGCCAGCAACGAGAAATAAATCACTATATTTTATTAAAATTTTTATTATTAAAATTCTTATATCCTAAATCCTAAATCCTGAAAATCTAAAATCTTGGCTAATTTGCAAACTAAAATTCTAAAGCTAAGTTGCATAAGATATAAAAGTTGGCCAAAAAGAAAAGGATGTGCAAATATATATACAATTATATATAAATTAGTTATTAGGTCCAACCACTACTACTATCCACATATTTGATATCGCTTTAGCTATCTCTTTGATAACTTTTTCTGTAAGTGCAGTTGCTTAACTCACATAATAAATGTCTTCACAGTAATGTATATAAAAAGTCAATAAATTCAAGTCATTGCCTAATTAACTAAATTTGTTTATAATTAATAATTTAATGTAATAAATTTTAATATATATCCAAGAGGGTGTAAGTGATAATGTCTTTCATGAATTTTATTAAATAATAACTATAATTATTATTCTGATCTAACTAGAGTGGATACTATAAAAAAAAATCAATGAAATGATATAAAAATTGATGGTTCCTTGATTAAAAATTTAATCACTTGAATGAATTCATTTAATGTGGTACATGTGTGTAGAGAGTCAAAAACTTACTTGTCAAAAAGTTGTACCATATTTTTCCTGCTGCCTAGTTCCCTATTAAGAGCATTAAGATATTATATCTTCATAGTAACATGATTAACCATAATAAACATGCAATGCCTCCTAACAAGAAATAACAAATGTTAGCAAGCAAAGTAAATATAAAAAAATATTTACTCATACCAAAAGTAGCTCACCCTTTATAATAAGGAGTGAAAAATAAAAATATCATTGTCTGCTCTCATGTCTCTGAATTGATCTAAAAGCTTCCTTGGTTATATCACCATAGGAAGGGATGTCATGGGACCTAACCCTCTTGAACCTCAATTAAGGGCCACCAGGGATCATGAATAAGGAATAAAGACAAGTTCAATGTAAACATAAACAAGTTAACACACACATACACATATTTTTTAACATATAATTTAAGTAATTAACCAAGCATTGTTAAAAAATTACCTCATATGAAAGCTCATCAAATTAGTACTTGTCATTTTATGCTTAAGGATTTTATTTAAAACTTCATTCCAAACAACTTCAAAATAGCCTTGACTTGCTATATAGCCCATTCTCAAAATTAAAGACATCCCTAAGCATCACTTTATGTGCCATCCTCGTAGCTGTCCAAGTATTTCTTGAGCTTTATACTCTCTCTTCATACTAATTTTAATTCTTGTAAATTATAATCTAACTTAATTTATACAAAAATCAAGCACAACAACAAGAAAAACATATTTTTAATGGCAGCAGTAGTAACAACACAAAGCCATTACATATATACTTAATTCATCTCTAATGAAACACAATAAGAATAAATTTATTGATGCAGCAACAAGAGAAATTCAATTCGTAACTACATTAAAATCATACAATACACAACAATATATTTGAAAAAAAAATGTTGGCTTATGCCCTCTCTTCCTACTACATATCATCTATGTACCTTTCTAATCTAACTTAATTCAAACAAAAATCATGATGAACAACAA